CTAGCCTGTTTGGAAAACAAGGTTAAGGGACATGCTCTGCACTCCCCGGAATCACAGCCACAAGAAGAGCCGACGGCTCTCGAGAGCCGGGGCATCGAACCAGGTAAGCCCCCTTGTCGACCCTTTTTTCTCTTCTCGAAAACTGGCAAAGAGGGGGCTTAACCGATGGCTCTTCCGCGGTACAAATATTTACGTTCCATCACTCGCCTGCCGGTACTTTTTCAACTCTGACACGGTCACTTTTGCGACCGCGGATACCGAGCAGGACGAGGAACTATCGCTCGTCAATCAATTTCTTCGCACCATGCTGGATTTCGTCACCAGCGTGCCGCTCGTCATCATCGCCGTCTCCGTTGCCGCTGCCGCCGCCGCCGCTGCCGCCGCTGTCGTCGCCGCTGTCACAACCACAACGGCAATCTCAAGTCTCAACCGCAGCCGCCTCGTCACCGTCACCGTCGTCGCTACCGTCGACGTCGTGGAGGTCGACTGCGCGAACCGGTCTGTCAGACGATGTGCGCACACGATTGTTGGCAAAATTTGAGGTTAAAGACGGGCTCTCAACTGTGGGCCCACCTAAACTCAACAGGATGCTTCTACCGGTATCCAAGAGGGACAAACACCAATCTCGGCCTCAGTCGCAAGTGGCAGCCGCCCTCAATGCTTCGGGCATGGGCCTCTCTCTTAGGTATCCTCGCTCTTACCAGAGGATGCTAAATTGACGCTCACCCAAATCGCTGAGGTTATACAACTGTTAGCGGAAGGTAAGTCGACAGCTGATCTGGCCCCGATAGATGAGTGGCTTTTCGGCGCCTCTTTCGTGGACGAGGTTAAGGATGCACAGGCCTGCGAGAAAGTGGCTCGCCTCGCCAGAGCTCCTGCAACAACCTCTAAGGATTCCCCTCATTCGGCGGAAGAAGTCCAAATAGCACAGAGGCAAGCCTCGCAGGGAAATGCGAAAGCCCCTGCTCGTCAGTCGAATCAGCCGTATAGTCGAACAAGGGCCTACCAATCAAAGAATCATCCTCGCAGAGCGCATTCCCGCTCCCACACTTACCGCCATTAAATTCGGTAAGAAACGCAGGCCGTCTGGTTAATTTTCTGTGCGAATGGGAAGCGTTAATGTCGGATTCTGAGATTCTGAGCGCCGTTCAAGGAGATAAATCTCCCTTGTTTCAAGGCCACCTTCGCGCTCTCAACTCAGAGTCCAGTTTTTACTGCCGCAACGTCTACGTACTGCATTGCGGAAATAAAGAGACGGCTAAATAAGGGGGCCATCTATCCGGTACAGCCACCGTCGGATCAGTTTCTTTCTTCCTTCCGTTCAATTGAGGAAGCCTCTGGGGGCATGCGCATTATCCTCAATTTAAAAGATCTTAATGCTTACCCTTATTTTAAGCTAGAGGCAAACGATAGTATGCTTATTGCTGCCGGATGTCGAGATGGCTTCCCTTAACCTTGAAAACACTTATTTAGCATTAATTCACCCTTCTTGCAGGAAATATCTGAGATTCCAGTAACAAGGCTACGAGTCAGTATTATACCTGGAAGATTTCATTCTGTTAGCCTACTTGAAAGAGGCCTGTCATCCGAATGTCCAAGCATACACTAACACTCTCTCAGAGTTGGATTTCATAATAAACTCCAGGAAGTCGGAACTAGAACCCGCATGGCGACGCAATATCTTAGCATCGTGTCCGATTTTGAGACACAGTCTGTTGCGATCCCACAACAGCATCGGACTAAATTATGCTCGCTTGTTTCAAGCTGTTCGGCCAAATCTCACTGCTCGATTAATCTTTTCGCAAGTACGATGAGGTCCCTTGTTTCTATCTGTTCCACGGTAAGGTATGGCCTTCTGTGTACAAAAGCGTTTGAAAGACAGAGGTTTTTAGCCCTTGAAAAATTTAATAACGAGTTCAATGCGAAAATGATTATCACATCAGAACTCACCGAAGTTTTTCGTTGGTGGCTCTATACTTTGGCCGATCAGCTCCAAACAAACTCACTCTTTACACTGAAAACCAAAGGTGTCCTGCTAATTCTACCAAATGCGGTTTTTTATGTCCAGATCAAGAAACATCTTAACTTAGCGCATCACGCCGTTTCGGGGATTTTTTCTTTCGTTTAGTTTGATTTCTAATAATTATTGTTACAGGCATTAATACAGATGTACATAATACCCTTAAGGGAAACATTATTATAAACATGTATAGTTATAGCTTTATTTTACTTTATAAAATGCCACATCAACTTCTGGTCAATGGCGCTATAACTATATTTAGACCTTCTTTCAGAGAATTTTCTCCCTTCCCAGCCCATAGTAACACGGACGAGTCAGGTTTTAAACATCTACAATTAATACTCCATCCGGACGAGACCTGAGGCATAATTTATGGATCAAACGAACTTACCAAGTGAAGTTCGATCATAATTATGCCGATGGGTCTCGTCCGGATGGAGCGTCCCCCCCTTAACCTCCCCAAAGCATATGTTACTAGACGACTCGCCCGGGCCCTTCCTGTTTTAAACTATGAAGATCGTGCGCTCGGAGCGCCGCCATGCGGGAAAGGAGAGGTTTCCTTTTCCTTTCCCCTAGACTTTGAATTCTGTTGGCTGAATGTGCACAGGCGCACTACTACAATTAATACTCCATCCGGACGAGACCCATCGGCATAATTATGATCGAACTTCACTTGGTAAGTTCGTTTGATCTATAAATTATAAACGTAAGTCTCGGACTTGAACAAATTTCGTAGCACATGGCGCGTCGTCAACTTTTACCTCTTTTCGCTCGGAGACGACTGACTTTTTATCCCGAGATCGTCACCGTATTCCCCAAATACAAATAAATATATCTTAAGGTGAGGTCCACGGCCCATGATTCGTGATATATCATTTTCAGAAATTAGCGGTAAGTTTCGCGAGCCAAAGGCCTCGACGTCTCAATTAGCAATAATGATTAGGTTCTGACATGCATAGAGAAATTAGACAACGACGCGACTGTTTATTGTTTATTATTGTTTCGTTCACGGTCAATGTCCGACATTTTATTATTGTTTCGTTCACAGCCAAGGCCCGACAGTTTATTACGAGGTGGTAACCACTTAATGTAATAGTGGAATAGAGTCCTCGAAATCATTATAAAATTCATATGAAATCTCTATGTATAATCCGATAATTACATATGCAATCATGAGAAATCATTGTATAATATTAAATCAAATCGTATATTTTACCAAATGACTTCATATAATTAGACAAAATCATATAAAATCAAATGAAATCATGCAAACAGTGGGACAATATTTCAACTAGTGGTTACCCTCTCGGTTTATTATTATTTTGTTCGCAACCAAGGCGCGCTGGCGCGAATGTTCTTTTTCGTGGCGAGTCCTTTGACTCGCAGTAAGTTACCGACAATTTGGCGAGCCAGCGAGCTATCGCGAGCAATAACGGGCCACCCTGTACCTACGCGGAAAGGTTTGCCGAGTCATGACTCGTCATATAGCGAGCCTGGTTCGGCGCGCCGTGGGGCTGCGATTTTAGCATTTTTTATATCAATTTCAAGACCGATCGTGTGACGAGCCTAGGTGAGCCAAGACGGATCACGAGCCATGCCGAGCCACGGGCCGTGGGACCCCACCTTTACGATTGGTGTTCAACTTTACCGGTTTTAACCGTTCCGTTTCGCAAGTCGTTACCAGATACATATATGTATACATATACGAATATCCTACAGTATGTCGATAGCGAGCTATTAGCTTTAGTTTTTAGTACGTACAAAAAATTAGTGTAAAAAATATGAATAAAAATTTTCGTTCGCATCACTATATATATATATATATATATATATATATACACATGGCATTCTTTGTCGAAAAGGCCCCCCCCTGCCTGTTCAAAATTCAGAGAGGCCTACGGGATTCGTTTTGGACTCAAATTGTTGCTTGAGATGTTTACTTTAAAAAAAAACGTGGCCTTTTCGGAAAATCAAAATGGCGCACTCAACATAACTGCCAGAATGAACAAAGTCCAGCGGAAAAAGAAGATGGTAAACCTTCAGTAGAACTATGACCTGGAAAATTAATGGCAGCAAATTTTTCCATGTATTTTTAGCTGCTGAAAACAAATCCGATAATAAAATTTAGCACTTGGCCATATTTTGGCCGCTATTTTGAAAAAATTCACTTTATTGCGTATATCTCGGAAAATATTGATTTTAGAAAAAAAAGTGATCAACAAAAAATAAAGCTCTTGAAATTCTCTGCAAAGAAGGTCTGAATTCGACATCGATTTTATTGTCATTTCTCACTAGGTATAGTCTAATTGAAAAATGGAGGGGGAGGAGAAGGGAAGAAGTAGGAGGAGGAGGAAGTGAGTAAGAATCTTTTTACATTCAAAAAAGTAAAACAGATGATATTTTATTATTTTTTAAACCATACTTTATTTTATTTTATTTTTAAACCAAATTTTAATTTTTGTTTTCTGCACATACATTTTGAGGGAATATGAGAAAAACAATATGATTGCAGAAAGTGTTCAATTATCGTATGGAAGTAATTATATGAGGATTTACGGATTTTCTATAATTTCGAATAATTCTCTCAGAACGTAATTCCTTTTCTACGTGATTCTACATTCCGAATGAAACTACACTAAATAAAAATTCTACATAAATCAAACTGCAGGCAACCGGCTCTAAAGAATAGTGTTACTGTTTAGGGGAATCCCTATTTCTCAACTCAAACCTTGATTCTCTAGGCTTACTGCAATACGGAGGAATACAGTCGCAAAGATCTTCGTTTTTGAAACATAAATTGGATTTATGCAAACGTGGGTCTTTGTCTACAACTTGCTTCCGGGCTGGCGACGGACGTCTAAGTGAGCAACCTGCTCTCACGTCCCTGCACGTCGTCTTTCTAAGATTGCACAACAGAATAGCCACGGAATTATCAGCCCTGAATTCCCATTGGAGCGACGAGAAACTTTTTCAAGAAGCACGAAGAATCGTCGGCGCAGTAGTCCAACATATAACTTATCGAGAATTTCTGCCGATCATTCTTGGTAAGACAACTTCCAATTTAGTAGTTACTGTATTCATTCGAAGATAATATTATCGATAAGTAGGTATACTAGGCCGGTTCTAACTCAGGTCCTCTGAGGGGAGCGCGGGGTGCGGGGGATACTCAATGGCGAGGGGAAGCGTAGCGCGGGGATTCTTCGGTGGTGGAGGTATGACGTCATGCGGAATGGCAGTAAGATTTTGGGGACAACAGTCACGTACAAGACAACAAAAAATATCACAAAAAAAGAAAATACTGCCATGAACAAAAAACAAACAGTTATAGAAGTAAATGTGTTACAAAGGGTATACGTTCATACACACGTTTATACATATGTTTATACATACATAGGTCTATACATACGTTCATACGTTACAAAGGAAAGGAAGGGAAAAGAAATTCTAGAAACGTATTAAAAAAAAAAATTTCATGTTTTATTTTTTAAACTTGATATATTTTTTTTTGCGTTGTGACCACCAGTTATGTATTTTAAATACATTTTGTAACGCAAAATTCTTAATATGTTTTCCACATCGCATAGTATTGATAATATCTAGATTATGTAAAGAATCTATATCTTTGTAATCAGCATCCAAGGTCTCAATGATCAAGTTGTCGCTATCGAGTATATCAGCCAGCTATTCGCGTTTTTCACGTCCTTTAACGTATATGAGGGCCTTATTGTCGTCACATTCTTTCGCACCAATTACAGCCATCGTAATTAGGCGTTTCACCATGCTGTACGGGATCGTCCCGTCCTCCCATTGCAATCCATGGTGATAAGCACTGAGCCAGGAAGGGCAATACTTTTCTGATTTTGTCAAGAAACTCTATGGCATGGGACATGTAAAAATGTAATGAGAGAGAATAGCTTCTGTTCTCAACATCGCTACTACCTTCACGATAAATTTCTTTCCAACAATAAATCCTTGCAGATCCACAAACATTGATACGATCATGGCGAATTTTTCGAGACTGTGCTCGATCGATTTCGATGAATCTTAGTTTTTATCTCTTGTATTGAAAAGAAGGGGAGGTTTAAAAAAGGAATATACTTTTAATGAATATTTATTTTTTCATGTAATGCAGCATGTACAATATAATCTAAACCATAGACTGTTAGTTCACATACTATGGCAGAATTTTTAACATAAATTCTGTACAAAACGTTTGCATCATCGCGTTTATTAGTAATACAATTTTCTCTTAAAAACGATGCAAAATATTTGAATTTCTCACTAACACCATGCGTATATTGACTCAGTTCATAGAATACATGCTCGACACATTGCTCAAGGTCAAATAAGAAGAGCATAGTTATTGGTTTCATGTACAAGCATGTACCATATAATGCTAATTTTATTTTATTCGTATCATCTATTTTAACATGTTCCACATTCGGATCTTGAATCAATAATGATGACGACGATCATGATGAGATTGTTGCCTGCATTAATCGCTCAATATATATCTGCACCTCTCTCGATGAACGCCTTTTATGTACCATGAGGCAGGATCATGCGGTTGCCTCGATTGTCACCGATCTCAATTTGTACGTGAGACGTAGGCCCCACGACGATTCCAATGTTCAGGCACTTGTACGTTATCAATGTTAATGTATATTTCCTTATCAAGATGTAAGCGAGGTTTCGAAGATGTATGAGAAAATGGGATGTAGAAAAAAGAAAACATGTATAGACCTTAGGAAAAAAATACATAACGTATCAAAAAAATTTATAAAACTTGAATGAACTTACTGTCTCTCGCAGGCCTCATCCTGTTGAATTGGAACGTAATAGTTCATAGAATGAGACGTTTTCAAGGATAGTGTCTGATACAGTAGAAGCAATCTTCTCTAGTAGTAGGAGCAATCCACAGAGCGACTTATGTAATAAGACTTATGTATCATAAGTCTCTTTTTTAAATAGTAATCCCCACCACAAATTTTCAGAAGCTTCGCATTTCACTGAATCCTCAGCGTATGTAGTGAACCAACTGACTGAATCAGTAATGTCGCCATAAGTCTCTCTAATTAGTGCTTACCACTTCACATTTTCCAGCAACATATCCAAGTATCGTTGAAAATTATTATTTTCGCATCAAGAGTTATTTCAATTTCCCCTCTATGTGTGTGCGATTTTACTTTAATATAGATATCATTATTACATTTTATGACATGAAGTAATATATGTTCCACAACGTCTATGTGAAGGATGAGCTTTGCTGTATGTTCCATCAGTAAAGTCATGAATCATACAATGACATGTAGGAATATTTAATATTAAAGTTTAATATTAAAGTTTAATATTAAAGTTACGTATTCATCAAACTTCGAATCACACACATTGACAATCTTGTGTTTCGCGGGTTTTCTCCGTGTTCAAATCCATTCTTGGAATGCCAACGTTTCGTGAACCTTGCAGTCCACTTCATC